TCTACATGCCTAAATGCATTGTGTTGCTGCCATGTGATTGGCTGATTAGACAAACAGTTGGAGAGGTGTACCTAATAAAGTGGCCGGTGAGTGTATATATTTTACATTGTGTAATATTGGAATTAAGTGATTTCGAATCGCAACCAAATTCAATTTTCATTAATGAGTATAATATTTTTACCCCAAAACTTTGTTATAAATTATCTATATAATCTGTTACGTTTAGTAGGATACACAAGTGATAATCAGTGTTAAAACTACATTTCAATTAACTCTAAGACAGTCCAAAATTCTGTAACATATGAGCTTTTGAATAAAAAGAAAATTAATGGATTCAATGCATTAATATAAAGATATAAAATAATATATAATATAAATATTGTAATAATAATATATAATATAAAATTTGAATAGTATTACCAAATTTTATGTAATCCCATTTGTGCGGTACATAATGTGCAGTTATGTGCAGTATTTGTCTAACACTCGCAGAATTGGACAGTAAATACTATGATCACATCATTAAACAACAGCCTTAATAGTTTCCTAGACCTAGAGCAACCAGCCTTCGCCAGCAGATGGCAGCAGCGACAAATATTTGACCAATTAGAAATGATTGTAAAATAACCTTATAGCACACTATTGAGCAGATGAAGGAATTGGCTTCAGGCTATAGTTTTTTTGCTATTTGTAAGGCTGTCAAAACCTGATGAGACTTGTCATCTTAGGAAATGGCAAGCTCAAGAGACATGTCTTGAAAGTATGAATAAACGTAATCACAGTTCTAGTCCCTGTAATTTTATAAGAAATGCACATTACATCAGATTTCCCCTTATTTAGGAAGAAGACTGACTCACAGACATGTAGACAGACATACATGCATACATAAATGCTGGATTCCACACAATTCCTTCATGTCCCGATAAAAATCGATTAAGTTAACTTAGTTGTTTTTACAATTTTAAGTGGGTTGAACATAAAACAATTAAGTTGTCCCAAAAAAAACCTGAATAATTGTGTTAATTCAGCTCATTTTAAATGAGTAGTTTAAACGAGCAGCAAAAGTAAAAAGGAAATTGCAAATACTATTTTCTACAACTATAGGGATTATTGTTCACTACAATACACCAGTTTACTGTAGTGAAAACTAAAGTCTAAACTACATTTTTAAAAATATTTATGAATCGATTAAAATAAATGAATAAATGCCTCCAAAACATTTATTTTATTTTATTTTTTAATTTTATTTTATTTTATTCATTCATTCATTTTCCTTTGGATATTCCCTTTATATTATATTATAATGTTTTATATTATATTATATTATATTATATTATATTATATTATTTAAAAAAAAAAAAAAACACTTTAAAGTACCAGCTGCAGGTCTGCAGTCTTTAGCACTGTTTCCTCACTGCAAGAAGGTTGCTGGTTAAAGCCCCGGCTGGGTCTGCCTGTGTTGGTGTGGATTTCCTCCAAGTGCTCCAGTATGAATATACATGTAGTTTAATTTCTTATTTTTTGCTGCCTTTCACTATTTTGTAATGTTTTATTTATTTATGTATTTATTTATTTATTTTAACACTGAGCAATGACGTTATTGGTGTCCCAGATCCAGCAATAGGTGGCCCAGTTACCTTAAATTCACATTGGAGTCATGACAAACCTTTCTAGACTCTCTCAATTCAATTCAAATCAATTCATTCATTCATTTTCTTGTCGGCTTAGTCCCTTTATTAATCCGGGGTCGCCACAGCGGAATGAACTGCCAACTTATCCAGCAAGTTTTTACGCAGCGGATGCCCTTCCAGCCGCAACCCATCTCTGGGAAACATCCACACACATTCACACACACACACTCATACACTACAGACAATTTAGTCTACCCAATTCACCTGTACCACATGTCTTTGGTCTGTGGGGGAAACCGGAGCACCCGGTGGAAACCCACGCGAAGACAGGAAGAACATGCAAACTCCACACAGAAACGCCAACTGAGCCGAGGTTCGAACCAGCAACCTTCTTTCTGTGAGGCGACAGCACTACCTACTGCGCCACTGCCTCGCCCTCAACTCAATTCAATAATTGCTTTACTGTCATGATAAATGTTACAAACAATTATAAAGTTTACATTAAAAAGAACATGTGTTCAACTGTATATATGACATTATATATATATATATATATATATATATATATATATATATATATATATATATATATATATATATATATATACACACATATATATATATATATATATAAAAATACAGAAAAATACAAAAATATAGAAATACATTTTTCTTCTTTTTTAAATAATTTGGAAATGATATTTAACAGAGCTAGGAAATTCCAATTCTGACTTCAACTGTATGCGTGTGTGTTTGTATTTTAATTGTTTTATTATATATTATTATTGTTGTTATAATTTTTATCAATATTGTTGTTACTATCTTCCCAACACACACCTAGATTATTATAAATGAATCATTGTAAACATACTGATTACTGTTATTTATTATTACTGTTTTATCTATAAATGTTGATTGTTAAATGCATTTGGATTTCTCATTTTAATATTTATTATTTTTTAATTAATATTTTTATTATTATTTTATTATTATTTTTATTTACTACTATTATTTACCGTTTAATATGCTTTAAAATATCTATCTATCTATCTATCTATCTATCTATCTATCTATCTATCTATCTATCTATCTATCTATCTATCTATCTATCTATCTAATATATATATATATATATATATATATATATATATATATATATATACACATAAGGGAGACGCAGTGGCACAGTGGGTAGCACAATCGCCTCACAGTAAGAAGGCCTCTGGTTCGAGCCTCGGCTGAGTCAGGTGGCATTTCAGTGTAGAGTTTGCATGTTCTCCCTGCGTTCGCGTGGGTTTCCTCCGGGTGCTCCGGTTTCCCCCACTGTCCAAAGACATGCGGTACAGGTGAATTGGGTAGACTAAATTGTCTGTAGTGTATGAGTGTGTGTGTGAACGAGTGTGTGTGGATGTTTCCCAGAGCTCGGTTGCAGCTGGAAGGGCATCCCCTGCTTTAAAACATTTTGGATAAGTTGGCGGTTCATTCCACTGTGGCGACCCCGGATTAATAAAGGGACTAAGCCGACATGAAAATTGATGAATGAATGTTAAAAAAATAAAGCTTTTTTCAACCTCTTTCTCTTTCTGCAGGCTTGTCTCTGCTAGTCAAGTGTAATGTAGCAAAAACATGGAATTTTTGACATCAAATGAATTAACGTTGAGCATTTTAGGGGGAATTTGGGGTATTATTAACAAGGTTTTTGTCTCTCTCTCTCTCTCTCTCTCTACTTCTGCAGGCTTTTCTCTGCTAGTCAAGTCTAACACAGTAAAAACATAATTTTGAGGGGAATCTGGGGTATTATTAATGAGGTTTTTATGTGTCATTGATGATGAAGTGTTTAGATTTTTTAAAACCATTTGTATCAGTGATGATGTTTTAAATTCAGAATTTATTGTAAAAAGATAATGTCATAAATTCTGGATTTTATGTTTAAAAAATAAACCTTCAACTTCTTTGTCCTTCTGCACGCTAGTCTCTGCTAGTCAAGTGTAACAGTAAAACATGGAATTTTGACATTAAATGAATTAATGTTGAGTGTTTTGGGGGGATTTAGAGTATTATTAACAAGGTTTTTATGTCTCCTTCTGCAGGCTTGTCTCTGCTAGTCAAGTCTAACACAGTAAAAACGTAATTTGGGGTATTATTAATGAGGTTTTTATGTGTCATTGATGAAGGTTATAGTTTTTTATTCTAGTTGTACTGATGAGATTAAATCTGGATTTAAAGGGGTGGTCCAGAATGTAATTTTAAGGCTTGGTTGTGTTTATAAGATGCAAAGCAATGTGTGCTAATGTTTCACTTAAAGAAAATTGTGTTATTTTTTCATATATCTCACTTTGATTATACACAGCTACTCAGCTAACATGAAAACGACTGTCATGTTTCCTAGTTTCTCTGAAAGGCCCGCCCTTAATGTAAAAAATTAAGTCTTTTTTTTAACCTCTCTCTCCTTCTGCAGACTTGTCTCTGCTAGTCAAGTGTAATGTAGTAAAGAAGTGTAATTTGGGGTGTAATTTGAAGTATTATTAATGAGTATTTTATGTGTCATTGATAATGAAGGGTTTTTATTATTCTATTTGTACTAATTAAAAAATACTATATTCAACCTCTCTCTTTTTCTACAGGCCTGTCTCTGCTAGTCAAGTATAATGTAGTAAAAACTTGGAATTTTTACATTAAATTAATTACTAGTGAGTGTTTTAGGGCTAGTTGGAGGTAATATTAATGAGGTTTTTATGTGTCATTGTTGATGAAGGTTTTTATATTCATTCACTCATTTTCTTTTTGGCTTAGTCCCTTTATTAATCTGGGGTCACCACAGCGGAATGAACCTGCCTTCCAGCTGCAACCCATCACTGGGAAACATCCATACACTCTCATTCACACACACACACACACACACACACTCTACGGACAATTTTTGCACTTGCGGGGAGCACCCTAAGGAAACCCACGTAAACATGGGAAGAACATGCAAACTCCACACTGACACAGCCAAGGTTCGAACCAGCGACCTTCTTGCTGTGAGGCGACAGCACTACCTACTGCGCCCCCGCGTTACACGTTTTTTTTTTATTTATTCTGTTTGTAGTGATTAAATAATGTTATAACTTCTTGATTTTCAGTGAAATATAAAGCTTTTTCAGCCTCTCTCCTTCTGCAGGCTTGTCTCTGCTATAGTCAAGTAGTAAACATGGAATTTATACATTAAATTAATACATTACATTAATGATTAACTGAATTAATGTTGAACGTTTTATGGGGGGGGGGGGGGGGGGGGGGGGTTGGGGTATTACTAATGGGGTTTCTCTTTCTCGCTCTCTCCTTCTGTAGGCTTGTCCCTGCTAGTCAAGTGTAATGTAGTAAAAACAGTGTCACGTCAAAGCGCCCTGCCCTCCCGACGCTGTCTTACCAGTTTTCTATCATCTCCAGGGTTTGACTCCCTTCTGCCGTGTGCTGCTGCTGCTGGTTCTCAGGGACACATTGAGAAACTGCTGCTATACCGCTCGCTTTTAATCGTGACGCTGGATTTATTTATATTAATTGTTACCGGCGTCCGGTTGTTATCAGAAGATGACTCGTGCAGCTGTGCGCTTTCTCAGGCAAACCCCCGTCATGAACGCGCACTGACCGCGCTCGCGCTCTCCGTTTCATTCCGTGTATCAGAAGCGGTCAACATTATTGACCATGGAAAGCTGAGCCTCGTTCATTCATAGACAGAAAACAGTCAACCAAAGGTCAGCCAGAAAAACAAAGGGATTTTATTCACGCCACATTTCGTGTGGTTTTCGACGAGGTGAGTACGAATTCCCCTTATTTAAGCTGTGTTTTTGTTTTGTCGCGTTGAGATTGAAATAGAGAAGATTTTAGGCACATTGAATAATAACGGCTGTAGTGTTTTGTTTAAAATGAAGGTTCGTGTTTAATATTTGCTCACCGTGTTTATAAATCCGGGTATTTTTTTCGCTTCCGATTCCACCGGTATAAATGGACCGTGAGATTTGTGTCTCAACAACAACAAACGGTCGTGATATTTTGTAGTTCAATAACACACTGATTGTATGATTAATGATTTATTTGTGGGATTATAACCGAGAAACGACTATATTGTGGAGAGCATGTGACTAAAACTACCCGAAGTGCTGTCAAGGACTAGTCTGGATTTGTCTTTTTTTCTCTCTACGTCACACCTGGTCTAGATCTCCCTGTAGGACAGAAAAAATATGTACTATTCTGTCGTTCTTATAGACGGTATTGAGATTGAATAAGATGAGGAAAAGACGCCAGCTATTTCACGTGTCTGGCATACAGTATAGCAGATCTTAACACTACTCAGATCTGCCAAGATTACACGACTGAGATTACAGCATGAACTCAACATTTTCACAAACCAAAGTATCTTAGCTGTATTTTTATAAATCTGCGCAACCGTTATCTAATGAATCTATCTATCTATCTATCTATCTATCTATCTATCTATCTATCTATCTATCTATCTATCTATCTATCTATCTATCTATCTATCTATCTATCTATCTTAAATGCATTGTTTGATCAGCATCTTACTGGTTTTGAGACTGTACACCCATTTTAAGTTTTTATCCATCCATCCATCCATCCATCCATCCATCCATCCATCCATCTAAAGTTTTATCTGGATTTTAATAAATATAGCAAGGTTTGAGACTGTATACCCATTTAAAGTTTCTTTCTTTCTATCTATCTATCTATCTATCTATCTATCTATCTATCTATCTATCTATCTATCTATCTATCTATCTATCTATCTATCTATCTATCTATCTATCTATCTATCTATCTATCTATCCATCTATCTCACTTCTTGTAGTCGGCAGTCAGCCAACGAATGTCTTCAGTGAACTGAAATGAAGTTCTTGCCAGTTTTGTTGGCGGTTGTTGGGATTATGGTTCTCCCACTCAAGATGACTCAAATCTCTAAATATTGAGTTTGCCATGAGGCATGAATGTTTTATTCCTATTTTTGGTCATATTCAATGTAATCTACTTGAATCAGCACACAGCAGTTTCTGACCATTTCACACTTTGCTTAAATATTGGCTGATTTCTGTATGATTCATACCAATTGTATGAAACGTAAAGTTGTTGAATGCAAAACTTGTGGCCCTCCTGTGAAATTAAAGTGATATTTAACTGAACAATGTTTATTTTGCACTGTAATACTATTTTTTCTTATTTATTTTAGTATGGCTGAAATAAAAGATTTTGTCAATAAAATAATTTGAAAGGTCTACAGACTACTATTATCTTGCAAAATAACTAGTAAACCATTATATATTGTCATCGTGGCAAACACAAAAGAAATTGGTTATTAGAAATAGTCTTATAAAACTATTACAGGGTGGCACAGTGGCTCAGTCGTTGGCATTTCTGATTAGAGTTTGCATGTTCTCCCAGTGTTTGTGTGGGTTTCCTCCGAAGTCCAAAGACATGCGCTATAGATGATTTGGATGAGCTAAACTGGCGTTTGTGCGTGTGTGCGCGTGTGTCTGTGTGTGTGTGTGTGTGTGTGTGTGTGTCGGTGTTTCCCAGTACTGGGTTGCTGGAAGGGCCTCCGCTGCGTAAAACATGCTGGAATAGTTGGCGGTTCATTCCACTGTGGTGACTTCTGATAAATAAGGGACTTAGCCAAAGGAAAAGGAATGAATGAAAACAGGTTATAGAAAAAAAAATTCCATTAAGCAGCACCTGGGAATTATTTGAAGAGGGCTAGTAATTCTGTCTCCTTATATACAGTCAAGCCCAAACTTTTCTCACCTCTGACAAATTCAGACTTAAAATCTTTTTTCAAATGTACATAAAAGCTGAGGAATTTTTTTTTTCCAACAATGAGGCCTCTAGAGCATCGTCTTATCTTTTGCGAGAAGCCTGTGTCATTTCCGATCCCCCAAATATTTGCTACTTGAATAAAAGTAACTTTAAGTCTGAATTTGCCATGGGTGTGAATAATTTTGGGCTTGACTGTATATGATACATATTTATGTGTTTACACCCTACTAAAGGTTAGGTTTAAGGCTGCACCTTTACACCTGTATAATTCATTTTACAAATTCATACAAAATCACCACCTCTACTTCTCAGATTGGGTTGGTCATTTTTGGGTTTCTGATACAGGGCATGTAGATATATCATACATTATTTTGATGCCCTCCAGTCTCAGCATGCTTTCCATTTCATATAGTGCTGTTTGCTCAGACATACCTTGCATTTCTTTACAGTACACATCATGTAAATTAACAGTTTGTGTATTTTCTGATTCACAAGTGCTTATTTACAGCTGTGAATTGCAATATGAGATGTTGATCTCTGCTCTGTCGGCTTTTGATGTTGAAAATTCAACTCCACAGTTTAACAAAGTGACTTTTATTGACATTTTAATAGTTTGAAATAATCTATTCTATATATCTCCTTTAAATATATATGAGTAAGTCTGTAAAACAGCAGAAAATGTACTGACAGCTTATTACAAGGTTTTTGTACTGTAATATACAGTTGAAGTCTGCTGAATTATTCAGACCCCCCTGAATTATTAGCCCCGTTTATTTTTTTTCCCCAATTTCTTTTTCACTGAGAAAATATTTTTCCAACACATTTCTTAACATAATAGTTCTAATAACTCATCTCTATTAACTGATTTATTTTATCTTTGCCATGATGACAGTAAATAATGTGCTAGATATTTTTCAAGACACTTGTCTACAGTTTGAAGTGACATTTAAAGGGTTAACTAGGTTAACTAGGCAGGTTAGGGTAATTAGGGAAGTTATTGTATAATGATGGTTTGTTCGGGAAAAAATAGCTTAAAGGGGCTAATAAATTTGTCCTTAAAATGGTGTTTAAAAAATTAAAAACTGCTTTTATTCTAGCCGAAGTAAGACAAATAAGGCTTTCTATAGAAGAAAAAATATTATCAGACATACTGTGAAAATTTCCTTGCTCTGTTCGACATCATTTGGGAAATATTCAAAAAAGGAAAAAAAATTCAAAAAGGGCTAAAAATTCTGATTTCAACTGTACAACAATGCATCACTTACATAATCAACTCTTCAGGTTACAAGTTGTAAAACAATCACATAATGCAATTCAAGACCATAAATAAACAGGGAAAAAATAAAATAAAATAAAAACATGAATCGCAAAATATAGAAAACTACTAGTTTCCAGATTTTTTTTTTCTCAATGTATGTTTAGGAGGCTCTACAGTAACGGGATGCAATCCCTGTACAGAACTGCTCTACTGTAAATCATGGGTTTACTGCCTTAGAAATCATATCAGGGGACTTTGAGCATAAAACCAAGCTATAATTTGCAAGTTTACCACGTCTCATCATGGTAGAAAGACTCGCCCACACTTGCTGTCCTCAGAGCGTTTCGTTTTCTCAGCCTCCTCGTTTTTCATAACAAAATGCACTTAGGTAAGTGAAAGTGGGAGCGTGGTTTGTGCTAAAAAAATCGACCCGGTTTTGAGTATGTGAAGCGCTGGATGGTATCATTCACCTTTGACCTCACTTGAACTATTAAGGGAGAAATAAATTATTTTATGGGAGAAATTAAGCAAGGGATGTTCTTTGAGGTTGGTATAGCAGCCATATTTGGGGTTTAACTTTGGATTTTTGCTTTGTTGACTTGTGTTTAATTTTAATAAGTTCCAGTTCTGTTTTGTAGATCCTGGCTATTGCGGGCACCTTGCCAGTTGAGTGTTTGCCAGAGTCTCAATGTCAATGTTAAGCTTTGGCTTTAGCAGAGCGGATTCGCAGTAAAATGTAAACACTTTAGAAAAAAAAAATCTGCAGTCTCAACACTGAATCCATGTTTGAGTTTACAACTTGAATACATTTTAAAAACGTTATATTGTTATTTAATTAGTTTTTTTTTATTTTAAATTAGATAATTGGCTTAGATAAGAAGGTTAATATTTTGTTGACACACCAGACAACCAACCGATTGTGAAGCTAAAAAACAAAACAAATGCTGTGTATTTTACAATGTTTGCCATACTGTGTGTACTGCTTATTTTATTTTGTTTTATTTTATTTACATCCACCAACTAGCCCTATTTTATCCACCAGGTCAATATTAAAATCCTATTTTATTTATTTGTTTATTTATTTATTTATTTTTTACAATATATTATTTTATTTTATTTTATTTATAATTTTTTAAATTTTTATCCACCAGGTTAATATTAAAGTCTCATTTGATTAAATTTTTTTTTCATCCAACAGGTAAATAATAAAGCCCCATTTTGTTTTATTTTATTTTATTTGTATCCACTAGGTCAATATTAAAATTAGTTTATTTATTTATTTATTTTTAAAAACAATTTTTACAATATTTATTTTATTTTATTTTATTTATTATTTCTTACATTTTTTTCCAGGTTAATATTAAAGTTTTATTTTATTTATTAATTATTATTATTATTATTCATCCACCAGGTTAATATTAAAGTCTTATTTAATTTAATTTAATTTATTTATTTTTTATTTAATTTAATTTAATTTAATTTAATTTAATTTAATTTAATTTAATTTAATTTAATTTAATTTAATTTTCATCCACCATGGTTAATATTAAAGTTTTATTTTATTTTATTCTCATCCACCAGATAAATACTAAAGCCCTATTATTTTATTATACTTTGTTTTATTTAATATAATTTTGTTTCATTTTATTTTATTTTATTAAATATCACAGTCCTATTTTATTTTAATAAATGTTACAGTCCTATTTTATTTTATTTTTTTATTTCATTAT